TGCGTACTTCGGTTCTCAGCACTTGCCACCTCCGCTGGTGTAGCCCCCTCTTCCGACCCCTGCCCCCGCGAACTATGGTGTTCTTCTTCTACTAATCGCTCCTGTTGCTGCTGGCTTGCAGACCCTGGGCCCCTCCCTCTGCTGAGCAGGGCTGCTGCTGCTGGTTTGCAGACCGATGAACAGACTGTTGGTCATCCTCCGAGCTATCCGATGTCTCTGTAGTAGAGGATTCCAACGAGTTGTCATCGTCTTGGCAGCTTGACTGATCACCCACCCCCGCGGCCGGAAGGCCGAAGCTTGGTTCCTTGAGGGGGACCGATCCCGAAGGCGGTGGTGACTCGTTTCTTTTCTCCTTTCCTCGCAGCGAATACCTTGGTTCATATCCCTTGGTTCCCAAGGGGGATCGATGCCTCTCTCTTGTACACTTCGGCCTTGTTTGTGAGGTTTGCGATGAAACCTGCCGTCCCGAGGTCTCCTGATCCATAGTTTTCCCTTGCATCGATGCCACCCTGTCGGAGGAGAAGGTCGGAACCGGAAAGCATTCCGCTGATGAGGATTTCTTCTCTGGTCCTGTGGTCACTTGCTTGCGCCTTCRCCCGTATTTTATCGGTGAGTGGGGGACCTGATCAGCTATAATTGGTGTTTCATACACCGGCCTAGCCGGTTGCGGCTGCGTGCCCGACTCCCCCACGCTGCCCTGTTCCCCTCGCCTTTCAGCYTGCTCCTGCCCTTGTCCTTCCTGGCTTACCTGYGTAGATGTTTCGTACGTCGACCTGCCYGGTTGCTGCTGCGCACCCGACTCCCCCCCACTGTCCTGTTCCCCTCGCCCTTCAGCCTGCCCCCGCCCTGGTTCGTCCTGCCTCACCTGCCTATCGTGTGCGCCCAACTCCCCCACGCTGTCCTGTTTCCCTCGCCTTTCAACCTGCCCCTGCCCTTGTCCTTCCTGYCTTACCTGCCTATCGTCCGCCTGCGCYTCTTTCCTTCGCTCGCTTTGTCCCCCTTGGCCCTCGGATAACCCAACCCTCCCCCCTCCGTCTCCCCCATCAGCATTCTTCTCGGACGAAGTAGCTCGGTTCCCCTGCTGCCCGTGCGTTCCCTGAGTAATCGTTCCCTCCTGTCCTTCGTTYRGCCGGCTAGTCTCGCCCCCGTCTGCGGCCCCCCGAATCCCTTCTGAAGGCTGTGTCTGCCYGCCGYCCCCGACCTCCTTACCGGACTTGGCTGACGAAGCCGYAGCRTCCCTCTCTCTCWGGTCCCCTTCTGTCCCTTGTTCTTGTCGTGAACTGMCYGTTTTGGAGCCTTTCTCGTGTTCCGGCCCCTGCTCCGCCTTCCTTTTCCGGTCTTCTCCGAAAAGCCAGTGCGGGTCGTCAGTCTGCATGGGGTCGTCTYCCCTCCCCTCCCACARTACATTCYGGCGGTRTCTTCCTYTTCCCTTAGCYGGCTTCCTCSGCCTTTCTTCGTGACAGGCCTGGCTTGCGGCCTCCTTCCGCGCCTGCGCTGCAATGCTGGCCTCCTTCAGGAGGGCGTTATCCACCTGGAGCTCCAGCTCATGCCAGGCCCTCCTTTCTTCCTGAGGATTCGACTGCAAGATCGGATCCATAGTACTTCTCACCTCCCTTTCGTGCATCTCCTGCAGTGTCTCAGCCGGCGTCAAGCATCTTCCATGGAGCCCCATGTGGCCATGTGTGAAACACACCTCGCAAAAGGGTGTCTCACTCGTTACTACTCTCACCTCTTCGAAGCTATAAGGGCCGATAGCCACCGCGACGCTGCTCTTCAGCGGGTTCCGCATCGGGCCATCCAGCACATACTTCACGTACTCTCTTTACTCATCGTCCACCCGCTGTTCACTAACAATTGGACCAAAGAAGTGCTCGACAGCCCCTCTCATCCATTTCGCTGCCAGTAGGGAGGGTTTGAAGACTTTCACCCATGGCCGTCGTTTGCGCTCACGCATTCTGTCCGCGTTCATTTCCGCTGCCAGCTTCCATGGTTGATATATCACTTGGCCATGCACTTCTGCCACATGCAACTCGTCCCTCATTCTTTGTTCGATGAGCCAGTTCCTCATCTCAACCGTCGGCACTAAGTACGCGACCGTCAGCTCCCCCTCTGTATCAATCTCACCTCGCCWCTGGCCTCTTCCCAACATCCATGCCTCCTTCTTTTTTTTTTTTTTTGCATTATGTGAGGAACAAGCCCTCAAGGGGCCCTATTAGACATCACATGTTCTGGGCTAAGGTCCCCAGCGAGCCGAGTGCCCGCCCTAAGTGAAGGCGGGCCTGAATATTCGTCAGAGGCCAAAATTTGACATTTCCATATGTGGGTATTCAGGCTCTTGCAGCACGCCAGTTGGTTGGGTAGACGTGTGAGCCTCACTAAGCTGCGTCATACAGTTGGCCCAGGCCTTGACAGTTGCGCCTGGGCACATACACACAAAGCAGGGCCGATACATATTGGGAAAGCAGTACTGCCTACGCACCTGCCTGGGAGCCCTGCACAGATGCAGCAAACAGCCCAAGTCCGGAGACTCAGGCCATGCCCAACTGAAAAGGGCCCAGACCCTCAACTGTAATCTCGGGCCTGGGCACAGGGTCTGAGGCCCAACCGGAAGCTACTGGAAGCTTCCAGCCAGGCCACATACAGCATCCAGGAGGCTTCCACTTCCATAAAAGAAGTGAGGCAGCCCAGGCCAGGCATTGTGGCCAGTGCTGGCAATGCAGAAGTGCTGCTGCACTCTCGTTTGATGCTGCGCTGCTGCCAAAGGCGCTGATGGGGCGCGTAGTGGTGAGGAGGGGCGCTGCAGGGCAGCGAGGCGCAGGCAGCCATAGCCGGGCTGCTGGGCGCCAGGGGGTGCAGCTGGCGATCTGGTGGTCTTCAGGGAAGGAGGCGAGTGTGGGGTAATCAAGGTCTGATTGAGGGTGACGAGATACGTACCTGGTGCGTGAAGAGAGGTCGGCTATGGAGTTGACAGTCATGTACATTGGTCTTCGAGAGTCGAAGTGAGCCTGTTACGTGAACCAGCTGTAGGTAGGATAGTCGGGCAGAGTAGGTTTGTCGCTGGGCGCCAGACAGAGAGGAGCGACTTTGCATACTGTGTTGATGTGGCCTAGGGGCTTGAACATTGGCTCATTACTTCATTGTATTGCTCTATATGGATGGTTTCTCGATGCATTTTGTACTCTCTGTTTGGATACGACTACGTGGACATCTGTGTGATTTCGCAACTTGTTTTTTTGTATATCGTTCACACTCATATTCCTTGCAAATTGGTATCGGAGCTGGTTCGTGATCACAGCTTACCTGGCACCGGCGACATTGTTACTTGGTGCGCTGATGATGCTTCATGTGCAGTAAGGATACTTTGGCGCTGGTTTGATTGAGCGGGGCCCAGGTAGAGGGGCCGGCCGCTGGAAGGCTGTGGCAACAGCGTGGGAGCTGTGGCGACAGCGGATGTATGTATGATGATGAGAGTATGCTGACGTGGCATTTTGGCTGAGGTGGCACTGCATTGCGTTGTGGGTGGTACCGAGTCTATTGACCGGTCATCGAAATGCATGTCGGCCGAATTGGTGAGAAATCTGTGGTTGGGGGCAGCTGTCTCCAGGTACGTTGTTCCCATTCCTTATCTACCCTCTCAATCTCTTCTTACCGTGAGGAAGTGAGTCCAACTTGANTCCCATTCCTTATCTACCCTCTCAATCTCTTCTTACCGTGAGGAAGTGAGTCCAACTTGAGTGTCCTCTCTTTGGTGAGGAGTCGTGTGCGCTCTACCTTGAGAGACGACATTCTTCCCGGTGGCGCATCTGGGAGGAGAGGGCGATGCCTCTGAAGGGCCCTGGTCGAAGCACGGGTCACGGGCACCATGCCAACCCATGGGTATAGTACACGCAGGCCATGCTGCTTTGTCCATTGAGGCTCTTTGCTGCGCTGATAGAAGGGGTGTGCGGACTGACCAGTCCTACATAGACGCTCCCAGACTGTCTATAAACATTTCTGGTTGGGGTATGAACTGTCCACTGGCTGTGATCGCCATCCTGATTGTGACGTTAAAGAATTCCTGAGGACTCTTCGGGGTTGTCCTTTAATTGCCTCTTGATCAGCCAGATCAGTCAGACGTAAGGCTCGTTGCACGCAAGGGTAAACAAAGGGGCAGGACTGGTCATAAGCATACTTCTTGGGCACAGGGGTGGGCCATGGTTGAACACCTTAGACACCGCCGCTTGATGATGCTTACAGGTACGTTGGATACATGGGAAGGAGATTCCAATTGTGAACTCTACTGTGCATCGCTATCATATCCATTGTGCATACATCTACTCACAGTAGTCTATTTTTATTTTGATTAGTTGGTTGACAGACTGCTGACACCTAACAGACAGACTAGAGTAGGACTGTAATCTACCATAGTCAGTTCTTCTCGAAGCTTCTATGCAGAACTAATCAGGATAGATTTAGACTATGTGTACAGTTTGTGCAGGTGTTGTTGATGCCGCTTGACTAGTAGTCTAGGTAACTCGTCAAACATTATTTTTGTTTTTATTTTTAGAACCGGTCAGACGTATGCTGCGGTAGGTCCCAAAGAGGACTAGAGAGCAGACAGCGTCTGCCTAGCCGATGAGTGGATCGGTCGGGGATGAAGATACAACTGGCGCTAGGAGGTTAACAAGGCTATCATCGCTTAGAATCCCTAGAGTGTTCCAGGCCCTACAACCGGGAGAAGAGAGAAGACTACGGGCCGAAGCTAGGGCCGGTAGTCTTGAGGCTGAAGGGGAAGCACAGCAGCAGCTAGTGTGGTAGCAATGGCTACCGCTTCAGCATCGTCTACAATAACCTTTGGTCAGGACATGTCGTCCAACTCGACCAGCTCGCAGTCAGTCTCCAACACGTCAGGTGTCGACGCTAATCAGATGGCGGGTGTGCAGTCCAGCCTGCCGCCTCATCTTATAAGGGAGCAGATGGAGCTCCAGCAGGTAGAGAGGATCCGCCTGAAGTTAGAGGAGGAACTCAAACAGACTACTAAGAAAGAAAAAGAAATTAGAGAGAGAAGAGTCGGACTAGAGAGTAGGGAGGCAGACCTAGCTGCACTAAAGGGTTTAGATGACGCGGCCCTTAACTCTACAGGAAAGATTCTGAAGGCGAGCGTCCTGTCCATGCAGGCATACATGGAGAGCAAAATGGACGCCATGCAGGACACCCTGGACCAGATTCTGCAGGCCTTACAAAGGTCGGGGATCCGGACAGCAGCTTTGCCATCGCTTCCATTATCAGCGATGACAAGCCCCTATGTCGCTCAGTCTAAACAGCAACCAAGCGGTACATCAGCAGCAGCTGTATCACAGACTGTTGCTTCTTCATCTTTTAGTCCAGCAACTGGAGCTACACCACAGTTGCCACCTGTCCCGCCAGCGGGACAGCAATTACCTTGGTACCCCAAGACCCCCCTGAAGCCACTTCCAACCTTCTCAGGAGACGAGAAGGATGAGGCTCTCGACACGTGGTTGAGAATGGTGCCAGTGTAGGTGAGGGAAAGGAGGACATTGGTAGAGGAGGAAGTGATTACTGTTGCATCCGACTTAGAGGGTTCAGCAGCTCGCTGGCTAAAGGTATTGTGACTTCAAAAGGATTCGGTAGGAACATGGGAGATTGGGCACAGACCCACACCCTAGAAAGCTTTATGGATTTAGTGGAGGCTCGATGGCACAACCCTTAGCAGGCACAGATTGCCACTGATGGGCTATTGAAACTTGACTCTAGGAAGTACAAGTCTGTGAGAGAGCTAACCACAACTGTTGAGCGGTTGGTTGTCGTACCGGGGGTGAAGTACAATCCACAGGTCTTGTTGACCATGTTCTTGAGATGTCTTCCCGAAGACATCAGGAACTTATTAGCCAGTGAGGCTCGTCGAGAGTATCACACTTTGGAGACATTCAACAAGAAGGCCCTAGACTTAGAGGCTACGCTGGGTGGTGCTCAAACCCCCACTACGGACGGAAGAAAGAAGAAGACTTCACAAGAGTGGAAGAAGAAGGGTAGTCGATTGATGATGTCTGATTCTGATGGGAATCAAACCGAGATCGATGATGTTTCTGAATCCATGGAGGGATCAGAAATAGACGGCGAGCAGAGTGCTGAGGGTAGCAACCTCGCCGCAGTAGTTAAGACTAAGGCAGCTGGCCGCGGCAAGGGCGGTCAACAAAGGAGTCAGGGGCAGGCCGCTAACCCAAACAAAATAGTTGCTTGGGTTAGAGCAGGCTTGGATCAAGAAGTGTGGCGGGACCGTTGGTCACGTGGTGCTTGTATAAATTGCGGCAAGTACGGCCTTACGCAGTTTAAGTGCAAGAACCCGAAGGTCTCGCAGAAGATCCCTCCTAAGGGTGGGTATCCTTCTTCTCAGTCTGGGGCCTCTACGAGCTCCAGCTCGGGAAACACTTAGGACCGGTAGAAGTTGTAGTTGCTTCTACTCTCGTTGAAGCAGGTGATGTACCCTCCCTGTTTCAAGAGTTGGTCGAAGCTATTGACTCCTTAGTCACCCCGCGGACGCATCCGGACCCAACTACACTTTGTACATTGGATGTGTTGGAAGCCTTAGAGGACCTTCAAGGTGAGTGGTCGGCAGGGACCCTCGTGAGTCTTGGGTGGCATTGAGTAGAGGTCCTAGAAGGGAGCACTTCGTTGTGGAAGTTGGTGTGGCTGGTCGCAAGTGCGGCGCCTTCGTAGACATTGGCTCCAC